GAGAGAGAGAGACAGAGAGAGGGGGGTGAGAGCAACTGGAATGAAGAGATTCGCATATAGAAAGCTACGATGTTCCACTTCTACCATATCCGCGAAAACAAATGCCGGAGGTGGGAGTGGACTGAAGTGGGTTACCGTTTGGTAGATCTGGTGGGATTCCGGGTTTCTGGGACGACTACCACGAGAAGACGTCTAAGAAGGACCTTGAACGAGAGTGTCGCGTGTCGAAGAAAGTAGACTGGATGATAAATGTCCGTTACAGTCTTTTAGAAATCTTCGATCGTCTGCATTCTGCGATTATTGATATCACTTTTGTGTATTAATTGTGCCCTACATTCCTTATAGTTAACGTAAATTTTATATATGTTTGATATTACGACGTTCGGTCTCTCTCTCTCTTTCTCTCTTTCCAAATGTAATATGATTTGCACTATATAACTCGATATTTTAGCTCATGTTTTTTTTTCTTTTGTCATAACTGTTAGAAATTAGATACATGCATATGTGCAAGCACACATACACATACAGATACTTATGTATCAATCAAAAAATTTGGAAAATTATATCATTACTTAAAAGATATATATTGTTTACAGCACGCACGAAATTGAAGAGGATGATCATGCCGCTGTTGATCCTGCTGAAGCTAAAAGCAATAATCGTTCTGCCTATCGTAATTAGCTTGATCGCCCTGATAGGTATGAAGGGCTTGGGCGCAGGTCTTATGTCGCTCTTAATTTCCGGAGCAGTAGCCTTGAAGGCCCTTGTTACACCACCCCCGCCGTCAAGAGTCAGCTATGGAATTATAAGACCACACGAAATTCACCATGATCACTGGCACAGGTCAGAAGAAGAAGTCAATCAACCATACAAAGGCTGGGCACCAGAATATAATGGCGAACATTACCCGTACCATGACATTCCATAAAATGCAATGTGTCCTTGCCATTCACATTCGACTATTTATTTTTATTTATTGTATGCCTTCACATGTTTGCATTATACAATAATAAAATAAATCATCCTTTTATAAAATTTTGTCTTGATCATTGCGAGATATTGGAAAATTATCGGAGACGTTGTATCATCGTGACATCGACGAACTGTCAAAAATGTCATATCATCGCAATATGGCAAATTGCCAAGCTCAAATACGTCATATCTTACTAGTGCTCGACCCAAATACGCACGTGTTATCCGCGACATAAGGATAATAAGGATTATTTACGGCAAGGGTTTTACAATTTGTAAATAATTAAATAAATATCGAAAAAGACATATATATACATATAAGTATATAGTCGTAAGCGGGTTACTCAGTCGGCCAGACGAGAAGGCTAATGACCTAGATGGAGGTTCACGGACGGAAGGGAAGATAGAAATGATGTTGCGCGGGTGGGAGAAGCGGAGAAAGACCGGATCAAGGTGGGGAACTAGGAAATGGAAGGAAACGAGGTTACTGTGTCGAGAGCAAGATAGGAAAGCGGATCGTAGTTGCGATTGGTCCACTGACTTCCCCCTCGATGCTTCACACGTATCAAGGTCAGTGTGTCAATGCCTCCACGTGGTTCCCCCCACTTCCACCGGCGAGTACGGCCGTGGCCTTCGTGGTAGGGATTGGAATAACGGTATCGGTTGTGATTAGTCGAGTTGAGAAGAGTTGAGAGAGAGAAACAGCGAATACGGATGTATATATAGGCTGTTCGAGAGGCCAGCACCGTCGAGAAGTAGCAAACGCGATGAGGATAGCAACTTCTGATCGACAGATGCTGAAACATTCTATCTTTACTGATATATTATTCTTTATAAGATCACAAACACTTTGCAAATAGTGCTGCAAATTTGTTTGCAAACTTATTGCTGATGATTTTAAATTTTATTTTAATATAATATGTAATTATTGCCTATTGTAATTCTATTGTTAGTTTAAATCGCATGATTACTTTTGATCATCGTAATTTAGAATGAAATAATATAATTCTACATAGAATAATCAATAAAGTTGAGAATATAGTTACATTTATACTTTTCTTATAAAAGAGTATAAATTTTTTATCGCGTAAAACACATAAAGATTTGAGAAACGTAGATTTTTTATAAAATAATTTTTCAAATCTTTCATATATTTTTTATTTAATGTTCTCTTTAAATAATTTTCTATAATCTTGCTTATATAAAATGAGATTAATATAAAATATTAATAAATCTTTTAAATATTAGTATATAATAATTTT